CTCTTCCTCCTGTATCTCTGGCGCCTCCCTCTCCTCTAAGCAACGGGATTCACTACACGTTTGTCTAATCCGAGAAATAAAGTAAGGCCTAACCGCATGTTTTACAGTGCTAATGTTTTCGAAAGCCTCACTAATTCTCTCTAACAGGGGGCTCCTGTGTGCTTTGCACCTCACTGCATGCTTACTGCTCTGTTGTGATTGTAGGAAACACATCTTGTCTGGGGTAGGGAAGTCCTGTCTCTGCTCCTATTATAATCCAAACAAACATCTGCAGGCAGTCTGTTCATCCCACTGTGATAATTGTGTGTAAATTGTTTTTTTTTTTCTTTTTGTACCACTGCCAAAATATTTGTGGATGGTTGAGGGAAGAAAGGGCTCAAACGAACATGACTGTTTGTAGCATTGTGTATAATTAACAAAGGAGACACCTTTTGATTTAGCACCTTGACAGTTCAGCAGTCAGCACAGCTGCATTCCTCAGCACCAATTAGCTCCCCATCTGTAGCCTGGCAGTGATAAGTTAGAAAAAAACACAGTAGATATCACTGTTGTTACTGTAAAGAGAGGGTTTGTGTCATTTTACTGCCTCATTAAAAAAACTCCATCCCTCAGCCAGTACAGACAAATATATGATTACTAAATTTAGTTTGATTTATTTATATAACCATTAGCCTTGCATTGACTAATGTGTATGAAATAAATTGTTTCACATGGGCACACATACATAATAAAAGAATCAAACGTTGATAAATGGACACACACCCACACACACAGTTGTAAACTGTCCATCTAGCTGTGTTTGACCTCTTGACGTAAAAGCATGAACTGCTTCCTCGTCAGCCTGGCATAACTTGAATGTGTCATTTCCAGCTGTATGAGGAACCTTCATTCATTAAGAACTTGTGGGACTGCATGCTTGACTGTGTATTTTTGTACTGTGTGCGATTCTTATTTTCCCCGAACTTTGTTTCTGTAGTAGTTCTCATCCCGTCTTCCAGTCTGCTGTTAGAGCTGGGCTGTGGTGGGTAGTTGGTTTTTAAAAGTTTCTCCGCCACTTAACAGTTTCGTGTCCATCACTGAAGATCAGATTGACACACAGGTTCTACTAATTGGATTCATTTTAAGTAAAATATTTCAGAACTACAGCGCATAGATAGCCCTATTGTTAGCAGTTGTAGTGTGTCTGCATAACTGTTCACCAAAAGTGATAAAACTGTAAAACTTTCATTTTAACTCAGAATTTGCACACAGCAACACTCATCTCAGTACATCATGGAGAAAGTTGTTCCCTCATTCCTATATAGTACGTTTTAATTGTATGGTTTTCACATCTGTGTGGCAGCTGTTTATTGCCATCTGTGTGATCATATCTTAAAAAGGATCACTGCCCCTTTTAGTAATGCACATGTATTTGGTAAGTGGATATAAGTTAAGGGTATATGTTTAGTTGACTTTAACATTCTCTATGTCAAGGAAAAAAAATATTTGGTTAATGTTGCACATGTTTTTGATCATGGTGCATGGACAGAAATTCAGCATTCTTTCACTTGTGGCTCCAAAACTAATGCATTATCATATTCTGTCTTCTGATATTCACTGTTCTTGGACTTACTTTGTCTTTCTCTCTCATCACCTCTCAGCCCAAGCAATTTCTGGACACTGAGGTGCTATTCCACGATGACAACAAACAACTTGATTCTGCAAAAAAAGAGGATCTCGTTTGATTTTGGACATTTACAATTTTTCCATACAGCGGTACAAGAATTGTACTAAACATGTAACCTGCTCTTTGAGGCTCACGCAGCAGTGACTTGTTAAAGTATTTCTAGTTGCTGAGAGCGAAGACTTTGGAGTTGCTGTGCTTATTAACTATGGAAGTGTCTAACAATTATTGTTATTATGTTAATCTCATAATAATAAAAAAATATTTTCTACATGTCATTGCACTTTGAATTGTACACTGTATCATGTTTTTCGAGGTATGACTGAATTGCTTTTACTTGCAGTGTGATCTCAACTGGGAACATATTTGTTTTTTTTTGTCAGGTACAGAATGTTAAGAACAAGAGGTACTAAATGTGTCATGATGGTAGTATTTTTGTCAAAACTCAGATAATATTCTTACAACAAACCACTTGAAATATCATATGTATGTACCTGTAGCACTGCCAGTCTCCTTTTAGCTTGCCAAAATGAATTTTATTTTTGCTTACATCAGGATGAAAATAACCTTTAACATATTTTCTGTGTGACTGGGGAAGGTTGCACAATGGAAATTTATAAAAATGTGAATATTAAAGATATTAACACAAGATCTGGTTCATCGCCATCATTTTATTGTTTTATCTCATATTTGTTACATTTATTTTATTTTTATTTGAATGAGTTGAGTACCATATAGGCTCAGCTGTCCATCGACAATATTGAATGAGCCAAAAGTACAAATTACTAGTATAAAATGTTATATTTAAAGAGAAATACAACAAACTATGACCTTATGTTGTCCTACATTAGTGATATAAAACGTTGTTTATGACGCAGCTTACACCGCCTTATAACTGACTAAGTACTAGTCACATTTTCACAGACAGAAATCATTGGTGTTGTTCGGCCAACAAATAAAATAATTATATTGTGCTTGCTGTGTGCCAATGAAGGGTGAAGTCTTACTGCTCCTCTCAATGGTTTGAGCCATCAAGTTCACTTGTCCTTGCCATTGATTTCCAAAGCAGCAGCTGGACAGTTCAGTGTACACAGATGTTCAAACTGTTAAAATCCAATACAAAGATCTAGGCTTTATTATACTCTAACTGAGAAATTAGACCAAGAAAGGCAACTTTTACTTACAGTATTAACTTTTAACCTAAAAGAGCCTTTGTTCTTTATTACATTTCACTGAGACGTTTATTGACCGTATCTTTATTCTAATCATGTACAAAGGAAAAGTACAAAATGTGCACTCATCATAGCTTTAAGATTCTGTTTGAACCTCCACATTGATTGCCTTGACCTATTAAACTTCATTCTATTATTTGAAAAGGGAACCAGACTATGGCATGCTCAAAGGAGGTGAACTTTCAATACAAAAAAAAAAAGGCTTCTTGAAATGTTTCTTAAGTTCAAAGCTTTTCCCATCTCAAAAGGGCATTTTTAATTCCGTGTATTTTCAACCAAGAAGGTGGATACTAATAACTCTGGATTCTGAAGTACAGAATTCATATCTTTAAATCATGAACTGTGTCTCCATTGCAATTGTAAAAGAAACCTCTGAGAAATACATGTATTGAACTTCTGATTCAAAAAGAGAAGAATATAGAGAAAATGTTTTTAAATAGAAAGTGCAGCAGTGCCGTTATTAGCAAATAATGCAGTTTTCATCACAAATATTAAACATGTTACATTTGTCATGAATCGCCCTGATACATGCGTTGATAGGACATGATGCATATGCTTTTAACAGATACGGCGCCCTCGCCTTCCTTCTCATCTCAGTGAGCTGTTGTGATGCGGCTCTCTCCCAAGTGACATCTTTATCTTTAATTGGAGAGTAATTACTTGTACTCGTCTGCATCATGGTGCGCTTTGAAAACACCTGAGAGAGGAGGATCCACCTCCCTCGGCAGACACATCCTCTCTGCCTCCATCTCTCCTCCAGGATTCGGGGCCCCACAGCGCCTGCTGGCCCTGGTGGCTAGAAGACCCAACATATCCTCTGTTCTGCTTATTTTGCAATAAAATGGGATGTTTTTCCCTCCTCCTGCAAAAATTCACCCAAGACCCTCCACTGAGGATTGTGGCATTTCCATGTATTGACGTTTGGCTGGTGGTTCATATACATTTGTTATTCTATGCTCTGGACTTCAAAGAGAATGAAAGAGGGCCTATTATGCTAATTGGGTCCTGTTCTGTTAAACGCAATCAAGGCCTCCCGCATTAATCCTTTACTAAATACTTACTGGCTTTAGAAATGCTTTTTCTACTAAGACTAAGACATACTGCTCAGTTCCCTGACAGGGATGTTTGTTAGAGAGTAGTTTTTGTAGAAGTAAATAAAAGATTCTATGTAAATAAAATGTCTCATTTTAAATCACAAAAGTAAAAGTGCCTCATGCCAAAGTTTAGAGTATGATTGATATGACACCGGTCATGTTAAAGCTTTGACTTTAGCTTTTTTTTTGTCAGGTTTTCTCTTTGGCAGGTCGATGGTTGAAAGGAAAAGCCTATTGAGACCATGCTGAGGAGCCCGACCTTGTTCTCAAGTCTATATTGTTCACTGCATTGCACACTGCATTTGTAACATATTCACAGTTTCCCCCTGATAGGGGAAGAGAAAGGAGAGATCCAACATCGATTCCCAGTGATACCTATTTCCATCACATAAATATTATTGTTACTTGCCATGAATGTCTGAGGATTAGATTACAGTAGAAACACAGTCGGCGCCTCCTTTGCGCACTGTGGGGATCCAGATTGTAGTCCAATTGTACAAATACAAAACCAAGGAAGCCGATGCAATAGGTGCTTTGATTTCAAAAGAGTATTTTATGCTGTTTTATCATTTTCAAGCTCCACATACGGTACATTTTTTAATATGTAAGAAATGGAATGGTGATTTGTTGAATAATTGAAGAGTTAGGAATCACTGAATATTCTTCCCAACGTGTGTGCATGCTATAAAAAGAATAAGGGGAAGGCTAAATTACAGTCATGCTGCACTACATTGAGCTAACTATTTGCACTAACTAAAACAATGTCTTGTGTAATCTTTTATCTCAATGCCATTATGTTTGGGTTTTACAGTTGTGATATCATTTCGGAGATAATAGAAATGTAAAAATATTAAATAATGAACAATATGTTTACAGGCTTAATATATTAAACAGCAAGAGAACACAATTCCTTCAACATAAATGATTAAGTGTGTTGAGAAGGTGCTGTATTACATTAAACAATGAATTAATCCCATTTCCCTTAAACGGAAGGGTTTTACAATACCTACAGTGGATTGCGCTTTTGTACATAAAAGCAATTGCTTTGTAAATGAACCAAATGCCCCTGGGCCTCCTCTTTAATACAGCCGCTCCATGCACACACACACACTGATCTAAGTGAAATTTACTATATTTAACGACTCAGATGAAAAGGCTACAAATGCATCTACTGTACGGACCCACAGTGCAGTATTATGGTGATGCATCAGTCTTTTCTTTTTCCATCAGTCTTTCTTAGATACATGATACGTGATAAATGAATACAGGAAAATAAAGTTGTAACTGTCAAGTTAGGCCATAACTTTAAAAGATGTGTTTTGATGAAATACTTACAAATACAAAAGTTGCAGCAGTAGAGCAAAAATCATACTAGAAATTGTTACTTACATGAAAAACAAGATGCTTCCATCTAAACAGATTCTTGATTGCGCCTCAAATAACATAGTGCAGGTATGGATTTAGAAATACATACATATATAGTACTATAAATAATTGGCTAAAGTGTATTCATGAGTACTACAGGGTTGATATTTGTATTACTGTTGGCACAGGCGGTGTGATGGTGTCCCTGATAAGTATATAATTAGAATTGGCATGTTGCACTCCTTATTTCAACATGATTAATCAGTGGTTCTCTGTTAACTTGAAAGGAAATATTAGATCCTGACTAAACTTTGATGAAATCCAGAGTTACAAGTAAGAGATTTGGGTCAACTAATGAGAACAGAGCGTCCCACTTTGCAAGTCCAATTGGGAGAGAGATAATTTGCATGTATGCAAATAGTGTTTGAGTTAATTGCATAACTTGGCATTCGATAATGACTAAGTTGTGTTGGATTTGTGGATGTCGGTCTTTTACAACTGGACCATGTCAGTGGTTGTGACCATTGGCAGAATCGTCTCACTGATGGCACGTCAGGGTGTTAGCAGAAGTTTCTGTAGGGTTTTATCATTTCTTGTCATTGAAGATCTTCTTTTAGTACATTTACAGTTTTTAGTACACTTTAAAGAGCCCACAATAGATATCCAGTACAGTGCCTATGTGCAAGATCATCATAGCCTGTATTTATATTCACATTTACATTTAAAACTAGATGTACTGTATCTATCCTTACATTTTCAATTTCACTTATTATGCTCGCTGTCATGGGGGTAAATGTTTTTCCCCCAGAACGCTCCACTGTCCTCTTGAGCTAAGGTCAGCTGCAAGATCTACTCTCTTCAGCATTAGATCTTTACGCAGTTAAAAAACAGGAAAATTATATCACTTGTCCATAAAGTAATGCTTTATAATTGAATAAAAGTGAAAAACAAAGGTATGTCTGCATATCAGCTAAAGTCAGTATGGATCGCTACATATGGAGTATATAAATATAAATATATGAATTCAAGATATCCCTCAGTTTTAATAATAAATATGTATTATAATATATTATATTATAAATCCTTTGTAGGTTAGAGTTAAACATTATCTAAATTAATAACAATTACAAAATATGTATACACTGGCTCGTAACAATTCTGAAACAACTGTTTGTTTATATGTACAAGAACTGTTTACAAGTGTATTAAAATCTACTAAAACATGATAATATACGACTACATGACTCATATATGATGTCCTTACATCTGCTAACAACTGAGTCATAGTGTGTTACAATGTGTAATAAACATTTGTTTGTTTATTGGCTGTAAAAAATAAATAGTGGGGTTAGTACTACTACTGTTAAAAAGGCTGTCCCATGTCCTGACACATGTTAGCCCTAACTGGGTTAATCTGATGCTCAAAGGTTTAAAGTAGAACTTTTATAATGTTCTCCTTTTATTATGCAGATAATTGTGAATCCTCATTGAGAATACAAATCACTGAGCATGAATCAGCTGCACACCTTTGAAACCTGCTCTGGCTGAACTGTAATCAAAGCAGCGCCCCCCCCCCCCCCCCCCCCCCTTACTCACACTCACTGACTGAATAGTGTTCTCTAATTAACCATGCAGAACAGGAGAAGAACACATGTTAATTTAATGTAACAAAAATGTTGATTTTCATGCACTCTCCTTTTCAAATATTTATGGGCTAGACTTGAATTTCAAGATGCATCAAAGACTCACAGGGTATGCAAATGTGTCTGCCTTACCCCCCAACAAGTTGGACTGTCTTTTGCTCTTCACGCTGGCTTCACGCACTGCCACCTGAGCTATAAAGAGGAAGCCATTACAGTCACCTCTATAGAAATAGTAGTCTATATTTGTGTTTTGAGAACTATCCGGCACCCGCTGGCACCTGCTCAGCTGCACCCATA